TGCAAATTCATTATAGAATTGCTTCGTTAACGTCTTCATATCACGTTTCCATGAAGAATTATTTGTTGGTTGATGTAATATAATTTGTACTTTATTTGGGGAATGATATTGATTATTTTTACTACTACAGCAAGTAACTTAAACGACATACCGGTGCTGTGGAGAATTATAAGATTAACGACGCGGAAGAAGTTTAGGAAATTTATTCGTAAGAAATGAGATGGTATTTGCAAATCAGAAGGTATACAAAGTTTTAATTTAACGTAAAGAATTGATGAGAATTTAAAGGAGAAAAGGGAAAGCATATATTTTGTGTTCGTGAAATAGTAAAAACAATCGTAAATAATAAAACTTGTGTATTAGTAAAGTAATTTATTCAGTCCAGGAATTGTATAAAGAAGAAAAAAAAATCTATTTTACAATGGAGAATTGTACATTTTGTTGTATATTATTTTCACTCGATAATTGTTATGTATTCATAATGATCTGTGTACTGTATTTACGATCTTGTATGTATTAATTTAAACGTAATTAATAAATATTTCCATTTCGTAAAAAACTTTTGTAAATAATCTTTTCGTAGCGTAAGCAAATTCAATGAGAAATCTTATTTTGTACTTTCTTCCTGATATTCTTTTTACTCTGTGATATCCCCTAAAAAAAATGTACGATCACACTATCGTAAAGTACATTAATGTATAATTAATATAGTGCAATGTGTAATTAATATATTTTTCGAAGCTCAAATAATACAAAATATATAAAGAGAAGAAGATTGATATCTGAGAAAGATACAATTATAGGAATTCACATGTTTCCTTTAATTAATATTTTTGTAAAGCTTGTAAATTTGTTCGATTTATGGATACCGAAATTGTGTCGCGGTGTCCTTGTTTGTCGATGATGCTGCCATCTAAACAGTTTCCAGTTTCAACTGGAACTAAAAAGTTAAATTAGAAAAATTCGATAGATGGCAGCACATGGATACAACTACGATAACAGACAACTGTCTCCAATAGGTGTCAGTATCAGTATTTTCTTTGTAAATACGATGATCGATAAACGATAAAGTCATCGTACTACAAAGGAAATTTATACTTTATTTTAACGTTTACATAATACAAAATATAATAGATGAATGATATTATTAATTGTTTATTAATTTCTTAACAACTGTTATATATATTCTTGGCAATTTGTTTGTAACTTGGTAACCAATAATTTTTTGGTATTTCCGTAGTAACTTTTGATAAGACAATTGAATAGCAATAGATATCGCTATATCTTTTTCTTTTTTTAATAAAGAAAACCACAAACGAAGTATATAATCCTCATCTGTGGTCTATTCATATACATATTTCGTCCGTGCCATGGAGCATTGGTTGTCCCGTCTATTCTAGTTAGTCAATGATGATACTATTATCACAGTATCACATATGAACCTTCATATACTTCACAGTACTATTATAGAAGATCGATATGATGAACTGACGCATACTTGATTTACATTATACTGAATTAATTTATGAACTTTTTTGTACGTAACGTAGAACTTTTATAGAAGATTTTATGATTAGATAAAATGATAAATATAATAATTTTGTAGGTTCATTTACAATGTATATGTATTATGATTAATTTGTCATTAACGTTGCAAGTCTTACACTATTTTTAGTAATTGATATTTATAAACTATTCATGTAAATTATAATTTATTTTAATTCTATATAACGTTCCTATATAACACTACAATGTTAACAAATTGATTATTTTTATTAACATTACAGGAAGTTTTTAAAATAATCCTAGATGTCGCGGTAAAACATTTGGTTCGCTGATCTATTTCGTGTTTGTAGTTCTTCACGAGTTTATTCTCATTGACTAGTGTTTTTGCGAATGGAATTTTAGTTTAACAATAAATCATTGTAAAATGAATATAATGAATACGTTACGATCTACTTATCAGAGGAACATCCATCACATTCGTCAATTTCACAAATGGTATCACTTAATTTATAAATAGGCATTTAATGAAACGTGCATAACCTTATTTTTTTGTGTACTTTAAAAATTATACATATAACATGCCGAATATTTATAATATGAAATATAACTTTAATAAATTACATCAAAATTATTGCAAATTGAACTCTAAAATATAAATAAATATGATTTACATTACATTTGTATTTGTAGTTTTTTTAGTCATAGAAAAATGAAAATTTGCACTTTTTCCAGTTCATTTTCATACCTGTATGTTTCAGTATTATTCAACAAACAGAAGTTACAGCTGCTGCTACAGCTAGCACAGTTTCTGTGTCAGAATCTGTTTCAACCGAGAATCACCCAGCAGTTAGTTCGAAAATTGAGATGATTGCTAGTCAAATTGTTAATTTGAATCTTATAGAAGTGGCACAATTGAGTGATTTACTTAAAAAGAAATTAAACTTGCCAGATGCTCCCATAATGCCTATGGGTGGTTTTGTTGCCAGTGCACCAAACGCAGAAGTATGTATGATGCTCTTATTGTAACAATATTACAAAGTTAAGAAAAAAATATACATAAAATTTTTTGTTTTACAGGTGGAAGAAGAAGAACCTCAAATAGTACAAACTGCATTCACTGTCAAACTAACAGGTTTTGATCAAAAACAAAAAATTGCTTTAATAAAAGAGTTAAAAGGTATATTACCAGATTGTAATCTCGTGCAGGTAATTTCCTTTAGCTTATACATACTGTACCTGATAACATTTTATCAAATGCATTTAATTATTTAATTGTATTTTTTACTATATAGGCCAAAAAGTTTGTTGAAAGTACACCGGGTGTAATCAAAGCTGATATTGCAAAAGATGAAGCTGAAAAGTTAAAGGAAGCCATCACGAAAGTTGGTGGTATCGTTGAAATTATTTAATATTTTTATGTAAATATATATTTGTCTTTATTTAGGTTTAATAGGATTTTTTAATAAAGTAAGCATTTACCATTATTCATCAAAATGAAAATAAAATTCCTCCACTTAAACTTATTTTATCAACTCGTTTTTAGTTTTATTGATTTAAATGTACTGTTAGAAACAGATAAGTACACTGTTTAAATTGTGACACATTGTTACATAAAATATTTGAAATTGTACGAGCGAATTGTATGAAATAAAATAAAAAACTAAATTTTAATACAACAAACTTGATTTTTATGTCGTAGAAATTACAATTATATGTTAAAATTAGAAAATACTTTGGATAAGAAAAATCGTGCGAACAACGAATCTTTTTCTGACTCGTGTCTGCGAATAGACAATTTCTTTCTTTCCGACATTTATTCAGAACGCTTCGTTTCAATAGAAAGTACACGTGTGTTGATAAGCCGATTCGTATGCAAAGTACTGCATTTCGGTTAATCAACGAATTGAACAACTGGCGCTGCGATAACAACCATATCGATAAAATAAGGGCCGTATCAACTGATTACGCCAGTCGTCTTTTCTCTATTCAGTGGTTGATGTCCGAGAGAGAATGCAAAATCCTTGGCTGAATCCAAGGAGTGATCACGTTTCGAGCATACGCGTTCGCGAGAAGATCTATTTTTACTCGTGCAGAGGGAATTTTGAGAATTTCTTTTTTTTTTTTATTTCCCAACGGATGTAAACGGGACTCGGATTGCGACGGTACTGCGCCACGACGACTATTGCCACGATGGCCGAGGAGACTGACACAACCGATAAAGCGACGATGGAAAGTATAGCGCAAAATATACTCGAGGTTCGTGTCAGCTGTGATCAGGACAGTGCGTGATAACGTAATAGCGGCTTTCGAAGTGTCGAAACGAATTTTCCTACCGGCAGCATCTTATTATCCCGGGCTTTTTCGATCATTTTGACAGGTCAGTACCGGAGGAGGGTCTGCGTCGAACGAAGTAGCCGCATTAGAGTTCCAAGCCTCGCAGGTGATATCAAGGCTCGAGGAGGCTGTCGAAAGGGCAGCCGACGGTGGTGGCACCACCTGGAACAATCCCTCGGGCTTTCTCTCCCAGTCGAAAACTCCAGACGAGATATTAACTTTAATTCAGGTAAATACAACGCTAGCAGAAACCATTGATTCGTGACTATTGGCTGTTTCCTTAAGATTTACATGCTGATTGGTTGCCGCTGTTACGGTCTCGGCGACCACTCGTCACGTGGTCGTATGATTGTTACGAATGGTTTAACTGTTCTTATGGAATTGCAAGTTGGCGCTCTTTTTTTGAATTATTGAAATTGGAAAACGAATGAATATAACTTGGACCCGTTCACAGAACGGAAGTTCTGTTCAAGTAACACGTCAAAGCTTCATTGTCACTTTTCGTATATGATTTTATGGTCTTGAGAACGTGATTTGCACTTATCTTTGTTAAATATACTAACGGACATATTAATCGTAATAGATAAAGCTTTAAACGTAATAATGATAGATAATACTATTGTATCGTATTTCTTATGTTTATTACTGGAAATGATGCTTTTGGAAAAGGTTGAAATTCATTTTGTAGGATTTAGTAATTCACGAAGACGCTCCGCAGCCGGTGAAGGACGGTTCAACGGAAACGGCGAGTCAAGTGACCACACTACCAACGCTGACAGAGTCAGCGAAATTAGCATTAATCGCACACACTATTTCCGCTTACTCGCTTGCACTTCCGAAATCGCACGCTCAGAGATTAGCCGGTCGACTGGCCGCGGATACAACCAGATGGCTGAGTCATATTTTCCGTTTCGTCGATTGTGCCTCCTCGTTTCACGAAGATCATCTGGAAGGTTTGGTCCGGGTGACCAGGTTGGCTCTACACCGGAAGTATCCTCGATACATGGAGGAAGGTTTTACCGCACTTGCGGCCTCTCCACCTTTAATTTACAGCTCTGTGGCCGCACCTTTAGGCGTGGTTCAACATCTGTGCAAACAGGTATATAGATTGCAATTTGGAAAAAAAAAAAAAA